AATGTATTATGGAAACCTGTATGTTTTAAAAAACGAAAGTATTACCTACAGCCTATCCAGAAGATATTAGTGATTGTGAAACGCGGAAAAAGCAACAGAGGAAGATGGATGAGTAAAAGACCTTTAGAAAGATTCAAGGAGAGAATTCCTAAGCTGTTTAGCACAGTATCCAGTGCATATGGTAAAGTTAAAACTTTCAACTTTCATAAAAAACAGGAAAACAAAGACGTTGGCAATTATCACCCTATCACTTTTTAATCAATTCACTCCAAGAAAAGCGATAATGCCACTAAGACGCAAGGGCTACTGGGAGTGAAAGTGAATGAGAAAACTTTAGAAGCGACAGGAAATCAAATCCTAAACAGAAAACAAGGGATAAACATCCAAAAGACCGAGTAGGGGTGTGAAACGGACGATAAGATTAATATCGAAATTACATAAATTATCATCAAAATTACTTACAAACAGACTAACCAGATGAATACCCTAGGCCAGGGTTCCCCAAACTGGGCGATATCACTCACCGGCGAGCGATTCCAACTGTTGGGTGGGCGATGAACAATTGATCAGAAAATGGTGGGAGATTGAAAATTATGGTGGACGATATATTAAAAAGCTATTTCAACATATCCTACCCGAAAAAATATTCAAAGGAAATATCCAAAGAAACTGTATGAAAAAAACAAAAACAAAAAACAAAAAAAAAAAAAAACGGAAGGTTAATTGGTAATAACAGGCTAAAGTGATTTGTTATATCCTGCTTTTCAAGTGTTTTGTCTTAATCTAGGGCAGGGTTTCGCAACCTTTTTTGCGTCATCGGCTACTGTTACTTGGAAAAATTTTCCACAACCCACCTGTATAGTAAATATTCAAAAGCATACAATGATGTTTAAATTATGTTTTGATGGACACTTTTCATTGATAAATTCAAGATGGCCAACGTGATAAAATAATAAAAAACAATTTTATATTAAATAAAAGTTATCTTGAGATCACTTAATTTTAAGTTGTTCTTGGTCTTCCTTTATCTGATTTATATCCGAAAAAAATGTTATTTTGTCTGAAGAACTATATGAATGTTAATGACCCTTCTCGAAACTATAGAAAATGCCAAATATATTTGTTTGCTGGGATATTTTATCTTATCTCGGAATGTAACCCAGTTATTACCAATAAGGCATACGATGTTTTTTTTTTTCATACAGGTTCTTTGAATGTTTTCTTCGAGTAGCATAATGTTTAAAATCCTATATCGCCCACCAAAATTCTAGACACCTATGCTGCTCTATACAGATTTCCTCCATGTTAATGACCCTTTTCGAAACTATAAAAAATACCAAATATATTCATTGTTTGCTGGGATATTTAACTGATACGTGGGAAAGGTAACGGTTAACCCTAAATTTGATTATAGTGATCGGGAAAGTATCCTTTCGGAAGTTTGTTCCACAAAATAACTGTTCTTGGAAAAAAGCTTCTTGCTAATGGAATACGAAGGGAATGGTGATGATCTGTCCCAGTGTACGCTGCATGGCGGGTCTTAGTTGTGAAGGTTTGAATAGATGGAACTAAGGAATGTAGACAGAACATTTGCCATGGAAATAGCAATAGAGTAGCGTGAGGCTTGCGTTTAGTCTGTAGAAAAAGAGTTGTAGGGTGAAAACCATTTCAGCACCTACAAGGCCGTGTAGATGCTTTTGAACTTTATAAAGATTGGCAATCTCCAGCCGAGATATGACAGTACAACTCCGTTATATCTGATCTTGCTCATTTAAAGGTAGAGCATATCAGGAGGAGTCAGGTACTTATTGGAGCAGTACAGGGAACGGATTATTTTCCCAGCAGCTTTAGTAGCGATAGATTGTATACATGAGTTCCACTTGAGGTCTGGGGTAAGCAGTTCCAAGAAGCGTTCAAGGTTAAGGGGCTTCCTTGAGAGAACACCAATTCATCGCGATAAGTGAACATTCAGGATCTTCTTGTTGATGATGTGTATTTTTCGGTGCGCCCATGTCGCAACCGAATGTGAGACAAGGTCAGTTTAAAGGGGTTTTTTTTATAATGGCAATACCGTGGAAAAACTGCTTTTGGGGACGGAATATGAAACAAGTTCTTTTTTTTAAATTTTTTTGACAAAGTCCCTGAGCTCTCTCTGTCCAGAGACGCAACTGAGAGATGATAAGTAGACGTGAACTTACTCAAAAAGAGTAATTTACACGCGGTATTTACTCCATCTCCCCACTAGGACGAGATATGACACAAGGTCTATTTTTAGGTGGGGACCCGAGCGCGTACGCCCGGGACAGGAAGAAAAATTCCCCTTAGCCCCCGTAACCGTCGGTTACGCTGGCCTCAGTGCACATACCTTATTGTGAAGAAAATGTTACCCTACTTATTGGAAGCTCTTATTATAATTGGTCAAGGGAAAGTAGAAACTTTATTGATTCCAAGAATTTCATTGATTCAACGGATGTGCCTTTTGATTTTAAACGATTGTAATTCCCAGTCAGAGTAACTTTTGTAATGACTATTAATAAATCACAAGGAAAGTTACTGAACTTCATCTTATGCAATGCTTCTTTTCTCATGGTCAATCATTTATTGTATGTTCAAGAGTTGGAAATGGAAGGAATTTATTTATACTTACTCCAAATAAAAAAAATGTACTTTATCCTGCTGCATTAAAGTAAGAATTATTTTTTTTTAAATTTCATTTTGATTTCGTTTTTTTCACCATTATGTCTTTCATTCATGCAAATACATGTATTTTATTTCTGTCAACACCTGTTAAATGTTATTCAGTTTCATTTGTTTAAAAATGGCTAATATTTTGCTATCTGAATAAATACAAATATTTTCTTTCATGTTTACAACCAATTTATGAATGAAATGTTCATTTAAAATTTTTGTTTCAAAGATTTCAAGTAGTGAATATATCTTACTTTGCGAAGCGATAGCGAGCGGGCGAAGTCAGCTAGTTTTGAAAAAAAGTAATAAAAAACGTTTAAATTATGTTTTTTAAGAGAGAAATAAATCATGTGGTTTTATTTGTTTTCTTTTTTGTTCCGCTATTATTTTCGCCTCACAGATAAATGAATATGAATTTTGTTCTGTATTTATAAAATATAAAACTATTGTCGTGCTTTTTATGACGCCAAGCGTAATGTAGTTATTCTAATAATAATTGCAACAATACTTACTATTATTTATTCAAGTCATGTTTATGACTCTCGTCGTTATTGTTAACATTTCATTATTATTGTTATATTTTTATCGTCATTAATAACGTATGTTATGAAATTCTTAAAAACCGCCTTGTTCTTTAAAGACGTAGGGAGTCATGGCTCTTCACATCATTTTCTTTCATATGAGTGGAGTGGTTTCCTATTGCTTTCTCCACGCTTTCAAATTCCGTGCTACTCTTCTCTTAAATTGACTGCTCCTCAAAACTAGAGAATGCAGTCTGTATATAGATGTAAAAAAGAAGTGATCTTATCTTCTCCAAAGGCATCAGTGAAAAATGAATGCAATAGACTAAACTGGAATTCGAACTCGGCTCGACGATTCCACTTTCCGCGCCGATAATCGTTATGTTAGCCTCACACTCCACTGATTATATGATGAGACTTATTAATAACACTGGGAAACACTGATTTTGCTACTGGGATACAGTACATGTGTTATACATTAAATTGACTATATACAGAATCTATTCTTTATAGATATGCACATTGCATAATTATATTCAAGCTAAATATATTAACAGTAGATCAGTATCCCCTTGAGATGGCTGCATGAGAATCATTTGTATTAGTTAAACAGAACTTTTTAGTGTTCCATCGATGCACATTTAATAAACAACATACTAACAGCAGATTAGAGAATGGCATACAAATGGCCAGTTATTTTATTCTCATTTCGATTGCTTTCTAAAGTGTTGAATATGGTGAGAGGTTTCACCAGGACATATCTGAGAAGGAATCAAGGTATCAAGGCCGACTCATTCCAAACACGATCAATGCCTATTGTTCGTTTCCACAACGGGTAACCAACGTAAGATCAAGTGTCTCAAAATGTCCGGTCATATCAGAAACAAAGCAAGTATTTCATATTTATTTGTTTGTTTTCTGTTATTAATATTTTTCTTGGGCATAAATGTGGTGTTTACTAATATATTATTTGCCTCGAACATAAATATGCTATATACAAAATGTACTGCTGGTATTACAGAATTACATATATTGCAAAATGTATTGCTGGTATTTTTACTATGAAAATCTATTTTTATACTTTAATAGTGTTTTTGACCCTGTTTGATGTTGACTATTTGCCCATAGCTGGGACTATATCAATATTATATTTTTATATTATAATATCTACCTTTAACATACATTGCGTATATCTTAAAATCAGACATTTTGAGATTAAAATTCAGAATCAGCGAGGCCGATTTAGTAGAGAATCATTTGCCTGTCGAGAAGACAGTTTTTTCTTGTTCATTGCATTTACTTTCAGTATTATTCATACTATAATCAGGATTTCATTTAACATTATCATTATCAGTATTATTAAAACTCTCTGGTTTTAGACTCGTTAATATTGCTTATATTTTATCCTCATTCTTTTGAATGTGATCGTCATTATGAGTCGAGTGACATTATTATAATGCTTATTGCTTCATATCACAAATACTTTTTGTTAATTTCTTTTTGGCTTTGGGTACTACGATCATTTCTAATACAAAGTCTGACTTTTTGTATCCAACCCCATTTTTATATTTTGGCTTGACGATTTGTCATGATCACGTGGTTTCTAGCACAAACTGCTAAATCCAATGACTGACAACCGATATGATGACGACAACGACGACAGCAGTCTCTAATTTTCGCCTGTCGATTTTGATTTATACAAATTAACTTTCTAACAAATCAAATCTGACAACATATTGAAACAATGTGAACGTCCAAATCCTTCATTTTTCTCTTCCTTCTCCTATTTCCATGATTCTTTTCAGTACAATTTTTTCTTTTCTTTTTTTCTTCCTTCAATTTCTCTCTCTCTCTCTCTCTCTCTCTCTCTCTCTCTCTCTACTACTTGTTTCGTCTTTTTTCATTTATTTTCCGCAATTTTCCCGATTCTGTTTTTTTGTTTTTTTTTCTTTTATCAAGATTCTCTTCGTGTTTTCTTTATTCTTTTCTTTTTTCTTCTTCGCATTCCTTCCGTTCATATTATCATTTATTCTTTCTTGCTTTGTTTTTCTTGTTTTTCACTGTCATTTCTCTTTTTTTCGAGCATTTTATCGTTAACTTTTTCTTCAATACTCATAAATACCAATAAATACTAATATGCCCTTTGTCTCAAATCTAAATTTCTGTTTAATTTATTTTGCCACCTTCTTTTTCTTTCCATTCTTCTCTTCACACTCCTCTGTTTTCTTCCTTCCTTTCTTCCTTTCTCCTACGCTTGTTCTCAATTTTTCTTTGTTGCTGACAATTTTTTGTTTATTCCTACTTCAGTGAATTTTAGATTTCTGCTTCACTGTTTTACAACCGAATACGCCTTCCTTCCTTCCTTCCTTCCTTCCTTCCTTCCTTCCTTCCTTCCTTCCTTCCTTCCTCAGTTCTTGTTCTCGTCCTCTTCCATTCGCAGATAATAAAGATTATAAAAAATATTCAAAACTAATTTTTAATTCTATGTGTTAATTTGCTGACAAAGGGCATAATATATTAAATGCAAATAAATTATATAGTTTGTGCCATAGATACATGAACGTAGACACATGCCTACATGAAAGTCTTTACCAATAATTTAGGTGAATCTGACTAAAAATGTTCTTCCTCGAACATATAGTTTTCATCGTCTGCTTCAAAGTACCCCCCTTAGGTATATATGCAGATAACAATCTTACGAGAAGTAGCAGCAAACTTTCATTCATTTTACTACAAATTCAGACTTATCTGAATATACTGTATAAAGTTTTCACATACCCAGTGGTCGCCAAGGTACTTTTCAGATGTTTCTGATTGAAATCAATTGTAACTAACAGAATAAGACCGCACCTCACAGTGGTCTTACTATCATAAACTTCCCAGTTGTTACCAGTGGCAACTGGTGAGCTCGAGTTGCAACTAATTTCTCAAAACCCAAATGAAGATCTACACATGCAAAAATACAAAGCATGAATGAAGACAGCAGCCTGGATCAACTAATGATAGAAATGAACAACATCACCGGGTACATGATTGGGCTTTAGCAAGACCCCCCACCGAATCTGTGGTACACCCCTCCCCTGAATTTATGATACAGGGCCACCACTCTACGACATCTTAATTTTCATACGGTAGTATTTTTCAAATAAAATACAAAGTTTATTGTAAACTAATTATGTACAATAATGAATCATGTGCATTTTAGGTGGACAATTCAACTAGAAAAAATAAAAAATAAATACAATGTATCTAAATACAAATTAGAGACATGTCATAATAGATCATGCCATCTTAAATAAATCAACACTGTTTAGCGGCAATCTTTAACATCAACTTAAGAATTTTCTTATTGAATAATTTTAACACATCCAACATTATGGATAAAATATAATTAATTTTATATAGAGTTTTTATTTTCGAGATTTAGCAAGTGTAAAACAAATTCACGGATTTGGACAAAAAGGAAAAAAGAACGCAGATGACGTCAAAATCGGCAAAAACTTCTCATCCTTTAATAGTCAGTTGTGCTTAGTTTAATTTGTAACGTATATAAATGTAGGTAGAAAAAAAAGTAAAGGTTGGTAAGATATCGTGGGTCATAAAGTACTGCCTGGAGCCCCCAATCAGGTTTGAGCATCCCCACTCCGATCGGGGTGATATTCGCAGAAAAGAGAAAGAAAAATGACAAGACTTTTAGTCAATAACATTGCGAAAAACATATTTTGACAACACATTAGGAAGAATTGCTGAATATATTATGCAAAAAGTATAATGTGAGCGTAATCAAAGTGTATGCACCAACTTCGAATAATGACGGAGGAAGTGTTTTATGATAACATCAATAATTGTTATAGATGAAAAAAAAAAACAATTACACAGTTTTGATAGGTAATTTCAATGCAAAATTAAAGACATGGAGAGATGGATAATCTAGAATAGGAAAAATTGGAATAGGGAATAGAAATAGAAATAGAGAAATGAAAGAGTCAAAATGTTAGTTATGCTGTCCGAGTGATATAAAATGACAATTAGGAATATCATTTCTTAAAAGCTAAGAGGATTAAAACGGAAACAATAATGACGAAAGAAAATTGAAATTAATGTCATACTTGTTGACAAAGTACTGTTAAAGATGTAGACGTCATGAACAAAGTTAAATGAAGCGATCATAGTATAGTATCTTTATGGAATAGTGAATAAAGCACAAATAGATATGAGTCATACAGTTAACAACTAGCATCAAGGAATCAACCGCAATAAAAAGCAAAAACAACAAAAATAACAATAAAAACAAAAATTTCCAACAAGGGGGAGGGACAGACGAAAAAGAAAAGAAATGTGAGCACAAAAACTAAAGGAGATAAACTTGAAAGAATGAATTCACTCAAAAAACGAATGAGAAAAGAAGAAAAAAGAGAAAGATGAACGTGGAAAGAATTTATAAACAAAGGGAATGGCTCAAAACATGATCGATATGATGTACACATGGATAAATAGCAAATATTTGCATGAAAACACCAAAAAGGGGAGATTCCCAAATATAAGGACTGCGTATTATGATTACCAAATATAGGGACCAGATATTAATATAACGAATATAAAGGGTCAGCATTTTAAGATTACAAAATATAGAGGCTGCATGTTAAGTTTTCTTAAATATATAGAACCGCTTGTTATGATTACCAGACGTAGGGACCGTATGCTAAGATTATTACCAAATATAGGAACCACATGTTAAGACTGCAATGTAGGGACTGCATTTTATGATTACCAGTTATAAGGTCTGTATGTTAAGATGACCAAAGGTAGAGACAGTATGCTAAGATAAAACACTAAAAATATAGAAACCACATGTTAAGACTGCAATGTAGGGACTGCATTTTATGATTACTAAATGTAAGGACCGCATGTTAAGAATATCCGAGGAGTAATGATGCAAGCATATATGCGGCAAAAATAAAAATCCTATCAATCACTTAGGTAGAAACTAGTCATGTTGCAGAAGTTACACCAAAATGAAATAATGTTTGCGCTTTTAAATAAAGAAAAAAATACAATAACTTTTTTTAAACATAGTGAATGGAATAAGTTGTGAGAAGTAAAGTTCAGTTTGTTTGTTATAAAGATGGTATAAACTATTTCCATTCAAACTATGTTACAAATGTTAGATTGCATTTTCATTTTTTTTCTTTTAGGAATTTAATGTCCCAATTATAACGAAATTAACCATTCGCCGAAAGAATAATCAAAGAAACGATGATAGATTTTAAACTTTAAAACGGCAGCAGTCTTGTTAAAATGTAACAAAAATAAAAATGTTATATTTAATTCCATTTGTTTTAAATGATTTAAGACATCAATATTATTCGAAAGAAGAAAAAGGAAGAAAGAAATAATTTATTCAAATAATTACGAACATTAAAAAAATCATATTTTAATATTTGGAAATTAATTTCACCCTATCTTTTTAGTCTGTGTGGTTATAGTTAGGCCAGTAGCCCTGGTGTCTGGAAGTCGAAGGTTCAAATTACGACAGGATTCAATTAAGTTTTAGTATAGAAACAGCTTCTCGGTCAGAAAAACATACGAACATTGAGTCTAACATATCGCGTAGGGTTTACTACTATTTTTTAAATTCACTATTTAAATTTATTGCCTTATTTGATTTTTATTCATCCTCTTTTACTTTCTTCTCTCTCACGTTTTATTTCTCTACTTCGACATATTTTCTTTTGTTAATCTACCCGCATTTACAGCATATATCTCTCTTTTTCTTTCTCCCACTTCCGATAAACACTCTCTAGTTCTAAGCCCCCCACCCCCCTTTTACCAAATTTACCCTTTCTTTCCTATTTGTATTTCCCCTTCCCACCTTCTCGGTTGCATCTTCACCGTCTTTTCCTTTGCTCGTTTCCTCTCCTTTCGTCATGCAAATCTTCTGCCTCAAATCAGCGACATCTTCACTTACATTTGCCGTCGTCTTCCTTTGAAAACTTTTACAACAATTGGATCACAAGAATAAATTAAAGATGATTTCTTTGAATAGCTTATTCAGACCGATTATCACACTTTGTTAGCCCTTTCCAAAAGCTGCTCTTTTAAAGCCGAGAGGTTAAACATTACAGACACGGACTGAAAGATTTTTAATGCCATTGAGAACGATAATTCTTTCGACATAATAGAAATCCTAACTGTATTGATGGAATTATTACTAGTAATATTTAAGACATCCTGTATAGCGCTTTTTCATCTATCTATCTATCTATCTATCTATCTATCTATCTATCTATCTATCTATCTATCTATCTATGTACCGCACACAGTGAGTGCTGATGGTAATAATAAAACATTGCTCGATGTAAAATAGAGCTAAAATTTATAAAATTTATAGCAAAAAAATTATTTTAATTTGTACCTGGCGATTGTTACGGACATGAAACGTGAGTTGCATCGAACGGCGAGGAACAAAAATTCATTTTTAGTAGTATATATATATATATATATATATATATATATATATATATATATATGTATGTATGTATGTATGTATGTATGTATGTGTGTGTGTGTGAAATCAGAAGAGGAAAATGTAGAAGAAAAGATAAATAAAAACAGGAAAGGTGATTGCCAAAAACAAATGAAGAACCAATAGCAGCAGAAAAAGCAAATTATGAATAAGAAAGGACAAACAAGTTACATAATAGGAGCGAATGAAGACAAGAGCCGAATGAAGAAAGCAAAAGAGATGAGAAATGAAAGAAGAAAAAGTATGAAAAAAAGAAGTGCAAAAGAAATTAAGAAAGAGAGTGAATAATGAAAAGAAAAGGAAAGACGATGGATGAACAAAGAAAAATTAAGTGCGAAGAGGGAGATTGAATAATGATAAGAAGGAGGAGGAAAAAATGAAAAGCTTTTCCTCAATGTAATTACACACTCTTAGTTTCTTTGGTTTACCTGTCGGTAGACATTCAAAATCCTTCAAAAACAACATTATTCCAAATTGACAGGTAGCAACCAGCATGAATCACCTCCGTTATAGATGATCGTCGGCCAACAAACCCCAACTGCTGCCAAAGCATAGCCAGAGCGAACGGTCAAAAATACACCAAAGCCCTTGTCCACGAGTGACATATAGCGACCGGTCCAACAATACAAAAGGTCAACTCAGAATTTCTAATTTCTCTTTATTATATTTAAGCAAGCGCGGAAACTCTTTCTTTCTCTCTCTCTCCCCCCCTCTCTCTCTCTCACACACACGCAGGTAAGTAGAAGTATGCATCTTCCTTCATCTGTGTCCCGTTTTCTCTATCTCGTTCTCTTACCTTCTATCTATCTATCTATCTATCTATCTATCTATCTATCTATCTATCTATCTATCTATCTATACATGTGTGGTGTGTTTGTTGTTCACAGATCTATCTATCCGTGGACAACAAACACACTACACATGTATATATATATATATATATATATATTTTCGAAGTCCCTTCTTGACGGCGACATGAACATACTTTGCAATACCCCATCCACACATATATATAAAAGTTGAACAAGGGTGAATTAGTAAGTGTGTAACCTAATACGTAATTAACAAAATTTAGTTATTCAAAAATTATAACGTTATAGCACCACTACAAAAATAGCCATTTTGTTTCAACACTTCTGGTGTTTTATCAATGTATCGAATGTCTTGGTTATTGGAATTTATTATTTCTACACCAATCCTATACTTATATATATATATATATATATATATATATATATACGCACACACGATCTATCTATCTACGATAGGATGATGAAAAGTTATCTGTCTAACCAAGAAGGGATTCCAAATGATGCTTAAGTATTTCAGTCAGTTTTTAGGAAGTAGGCCGTTCTGAAAACTTTACCTATCATGCGCGCACACACACACACACACACACACACACACACACACACACACACACACACACACACACACACACACACACACACACACACACACACACATATATATAATATATATATATATATATATAGTTGTATATTTAGGCAGCAATCTTTCGTTTATGCATGTTTCATTAAAAACGACAGACAAGGTACTACGATTAAGCTTTTTATTTAATTTTTCTTGTGTTCGAACAAGAGCTTTCTTTTCTGGACAAAGAGTGTGTAAAAACTGTCCAAATTTTTTATAGTTCCGAGCGCTTTCGGCTATACCTTTAGCCATTATCAAGGATGATTCTATTAATTGAGTGTGTGCATTATGTGTATGTTTTAGTGTGTTATAGGAATGTTTTTAAGACAGCTAACCTTATCCTCAAAAATAACAACACACCAACGAAGTCAAAATTACAAAGAACGAACATTATCTATGAGTTCAAATGCCCCTTAAGGAACTTTGTACCTGATCAAACCGGACTCATAAATAATTACATCGGTTACACAACCACATGCTCATCCAGACGTCTTACGTTACACCTTTCTGATCACAGCTCCATTAAAACCCATTTAAATACATACACAAATTTACCAGACTCCATTAGAAACATACTAGTAGAAAACACAAATATAATAACTACATCCACCTGTAAAAAAAGATTAAAAATAATGGAAGCTTTAATAATAAAAAAGTAAAAGCCAACTCTTAACAATATTAACTACGAACAAGGCCACAATGTGCTAACCTTATTCGGAAATTAAAAACATCTCTACAACAAACTAAAACATACACATAATGCACACACTCAATTAAGCTGAAAAATCGAATCATTCTTGATTATAGTAAAAGTATAGCCGAAAGCGCTCGGACCTAAGAAAAGAAAGCTCTTGTTCGAACACAAGAAAAATTAAATAAAAAGCTTAACCGTAGTACCTTGTCTGTCGTTTTTAATGAAACACACGCACACGCACACACACACACATATATATCGATATATATATATATATATATATATATATATCGTGAGAAGATGATGAGAGAGAGAGAGAGAGAGAGAATACCTGAAGTGAAGACATAGACTAATGATAGTTTCAAATAAAGAAAATATAGACACGATAAAATAGAGAACGAAATGAATATTGGTGCTGAACTCAATGACAGCAACGTGGACAGAGTGCAGAGCAAAGAGACACTGGAAAGTTGGAGAAGCAGGAAGAATCCAGTAAGAAGGAAAAACTCGGGATAAAGCGTTAAGAGTGTAAAAGTATGTTGCTTCATCCTCAAGTCCATAAGAGAAAACAAGCAAACCCCTTCTGCGGCAGACCTCAGGTGACCCGACGAAGATTTCTTTTTGAAACATTTCTTTCGTTCAACATCATTTACGCACGATGAAACGTTGCTTAGTTGAACCTGTTTTTGTCCTCAGAAAAGCGAGAGTACCCCCTCACACCAGCACTACCACCGATTTGCACCCCCAGCCACTTACTACTTCCTATATTTCTGTCCCTACTTTGCAATATTTAGTTTCGACTTTCTAGACGTGCGTATCCCGTGACCTTGGTTTGATAATCGCTCTTCATACCACTTGCTGGAATTTTGACTGTCTAATTTACGGCATGGTAGTGACAGTGGGAATGATTTCCTTCTCGGCTCTGAAAAAGAAATGTGACTGTGAAGGTGTGTGCGTCTGAGTGCGCGCGTGTGTACAGCGGTGCATATGGTTTCGTGTGATTATGTATGAGAAAACGCGTGAAACTGATATTGGGATTCGTTTGTGTTGTATGCAAGAGAAGAAGAAGAACGAAAAAGATAAAGACAAATAAAAGAGAAATAAAAAGAAAGAGTAAAGAATAAAGGAAGAGAAGGAAGAGATTAGAAAAAGTGAAGTACAAGGAAAATACTTGAAGAGAGCAAAAAAGATCAGTAAAGTATAAGAAGATATATCGGAAAAGCGACAAAGAAAAGAAAGAATAAAGAAAAGACAAAAATTAAAGAAGAAGAAGAAAATAAAAAAAATAGAATTCTTTATATTTGAAAGAAAAAGAAAGGTTAAAATTGGAAAATAAAGAAGAAAAAGTGAAGAAGAAAAATGAATATTAATATAGTTGAAAAAAAGAGAATTCGAAGGAAGAAGAAAAGTGCAATTAAAAGGAAGTTTGACGATGAAGAAAGGAGAACAACACCTGAAGAAGAAGAAGAAGAAGAAGAAGAAGAAAAACAAGAACAAAGAGAGAGAAAAAAGAGAGAGAAGAAAGAGGATAAAAGAGAAAACTGCTTTAAATGATTGTCGCTATCATATACGTCTCATGATCACGTTCAATGATAGTAACAATAGTCTTTGTGTCGTGGTTGTCTTTAAATAAGAAAAACGAGAAAAGATCAAGTAGATAGATAAGAAGTAGAGGTTACCAGGTCACGGATCGTCTGTGGGATCTTTTGGCTATGCATTCATCGGACAGTTTTCGGCTTTTGGTTGACAATGTGGTTAAAGAGGCGAGACGACAATGATATAGACTGACCACGTTGAACCGCATTGACCTGGCCGAAATGAGCGAAAATCCGCAAAGCTAATGTGTGGTTTTAGCCTCCAAAGAAGAACTCACTGAATGCTCATCTTGAAAGTTTGAAGTGTCAGCCATTGACCCTCCACGTCGAAGTCATTACTTCTGGCCAATCGGACAGTGGACGTTTTAAGGTTTCTATCTCGCTATGTTTTATGCAGAACACAATTTCTGCTCTAAATTTATTATTAATAAGCTTGCATTTCTTTTTCTGTTTCTTTCTTTCTTTTTCTTTCTTTCATTCACTTTTTCCTTATTTCTTTTTCATTTCTTTTTTTTTCACTTTCACTTTCTAAACTCAAAATCACGTTTATTTCATCTCTCTTTCTTTTTTATAAGTTAAATCGTTTTTCTTGCATTCCTTTGTTGCCATTTATTTATTTTGGCACTTATTCTTTATTTCAATCATTTTCTCTTCTTTTACTCTTTCTTCTTTCTTTTTGGTCAAATGTCTTTCCTCTTTTCCTGCCTCAGTTCTTGATCTTCACTATAACATTTAAGACTTAACCATGCACTCATCCATGTTGTCATAGAAATAACGTTTTATTTCTTGATTAATAAGCATTCATTTCACTCTTTTTTTTTTACATTTCATTCTCATTTCTTTCTTTCGTTTTATTAATTTCCCATACTTTCTTTCCTTCTTTCTTTCTTTTGAAAGTCACTTCACCTTTCCTCACATAAACTTTTCCAGGTGTGAAAAAAAAGAAAAAAAAAAAAGAAAGCAAAACTATGCAAGCAAACGTCGAGCGATGTTGTCATAGATACGATGACATCAAAGGCATCGCTCATTTTAAACTGAAGCTTATATTCTTATTCCACCTTGAAACTTGCTTTTGGATCATTTACTTTATTGGTTCACATTTCATTTTCCCGAAGAAGGTTTCGAAAAGATGACTACACAATCGAATCTACGAAAGCTTCTATTCTGATTTAACATCCATTCAAAACCGACGAGAAAATAGCCAGTTAGAGTTTCAGCACTTTGACAGTTCGTGCCAAATGTTGGACGAAAATACTTAGTTAAATGGGACTTTGTCATCGTTAACAGAGTCGGATTTATATATATAGAGAGAGAAATGCTAGCAAGGAGACCTCGAGCATTAAATTTATATTGAACGTGGTCATTTCTTCTATTCGTTTTATTTGTTAGCAAGATTTCCTCAATTCGTTCTTTTACTAATTAAATTGCACGCAGCTCTCCCATATTGTTATGAAAAGATGAGTCTCTGTTTTTTAGTGAACTGGTAAAGAGATTCAAAGAACTGGCAGGGATTTAAATTTTTGTTGGATTAAAATCTTAATGGTAAAAACAATTTGGTAATAATTTTAATACAGAAATAAAAGGTGGGAGTTTAAATAATAATAATAATAATAATAATAATAAGAAGAAGAAGAAGAAGAAGAAGACAAAGAGGCAGAAGAAGAAGAAGAAAAAAATCTAGATTCAGATAGAGCAGTAGACCATTCGTAAATATTGTTAATAAGAAAGGTAAATTGGATCAAAAAGAAAAAATGGAAGTGAATACGGAACAGATAAATATGAAGACCTGGTATATAAAATCTTGAAAGAGTGTCTTTGGAAACATTCATGTTTTATGTTGAATTCTTGCTACAATCTAACTTTTTTGTTGTTGTTGGCCTAACAAACAAACCTATACAGAAAAATCGAGTTCTTATAATACACCAAATCTAATTTACATTGAATTAAATGAAATTGTTCATTTAACAACAAGTTACATTATATTTACAATTTATTGGTTTATTGCAGAATTTTGATATTTTGTGATAATTTTACAAATTTTACCTCTCAAATCAAGACAAATCGTTTTCTAAGAGTAAGTCAAGAGAAAAAGCCCACTTCCCTGATTTTGAAATCAGAAAGTTTCTCATCCAAAATGTTGTCTATTAATGAATATAATCAATTTTATTTATATATTTTATAAGAAGCACAAACCCTGAGACTGCTCCTGTGACAATTGAATTAACTGCTCGTTAATTGTGGATGCCAGTCTCACAGTAAAAAGAATAATGAATTCCGAGCAAATTAAGCTATAAAGAGTCTCCCAATGCTCTATCAACTATGACTATTATCAATATCAATTATTTGCTATCGCAGATTTTATGTGCTTGTGAATAAAGTACAAACGACTGGAAACAAAATATTAAGACTGATTAGAAATATACTGAAAACATTTGTATTAACACATAACCAATCAAGGTTTGCATGTTTGTTATTGATGGCAACAGCTGACGCCTTTTCTAAGCGCAATTGAGCACATATGAATTTATGTTTATATGCTACGATACGTTTAGGATACGGTAACATTTATTAATACGAGTAAGGAAAATAATTTTATATAATTATATTATAAATATTAATTTTATAGAAATTAAATGTTAAAAGGTTTCTCGTCTTATTCTTATCTTAGTTGTTTCGATCTCTATGTTACAGCATTATTCAGATTTGCAATGAATTCTTTATCAGTTCTAAAATCTGTTTCTCCTTTTCATTTCAGTACAGGAGGAAACTTTGACACTTGGATCTCTGAATTTAATTGCATCTGTGACAATATAGGTGGACAATTCAACTAGAAAAATTGAAAATAAATACAATGTACTGAAATATAAATTAGAGATATATTATAATAGATCATGCCATCTTAAATAAATCAACAATGATTTGCAGCAATTTTTAACATCAACATTTTCTTATTGAATAATTTGAACATTATGGATAAAATATAGTGAATTTTATATAATGTTTTTTTTCGAGACTCAGCAGAAGCAAAAGGAATTCACAGACAAAAAAGAACCCAGAATAACATCAAAATCTGCAAAAATTGTCATCCTTTAATAGTCACTTGTGCTTATTTTAATTTAATTTATAACATGGGTAAAATATAGGTAAAAAAAAAGCAAATGTTGATAAGATAGCAAGGGTCAAAAAGTAGTGCTTGGGGCCCCCAATCAGGCTAGCCTTCTATGTCGGGGGGTTTCGTGAGTAGTATGAAAAAGCTCTGACGTATATATAAAGCAACTAACAAAGAAAAATGGACCATTTACGTTCATGTTTTTCTTTGCCTCTGGATCGTCAAACCTATCGGGGTAGAGGTGAGGGTGATGAAGGGTTTGCAACTTGCTGTTGTGAAAATATTTATTTTTTTAAAGCATTTCACACCATGCAAGGCAGGAAGCCACTAGAGAGGTTACAGAGGATTTGGAGCGAGAGCAGGTAGGAGTGATAGAGGAAAGGATGAGGAGAAGGATAGTGGATAGATCAAGGCAACTGGAGATGTCGATTGACATTACATTTGAATAGTTGGAGATTATAGCTATCAGGGAAACTGGAATAGGGTAGGGAGTTCCACAGGCGAGAGGTGCGAGACATGAAGCTATTGGAGTAGAAGAGACGGCTACATTTAACAGTTTCAACAGTGAAAGGGTGAGAGCGGGATGCCAGACGCTTGAATTCATGAAGTCTGGGAACCAGCGAAAGCAGCTCATCGGAGCAATTACCATGAAAGTATTTGTAAAAAAGACAGAGAGAGGCGACTGCAGACGAGATACCAGATCAGGGCCAATTACATTGCATATCCGTCTCTGGATCTTATCAAGAATCCCAAGGCAAACAGAAGGGGCTCCAGACCATATATGGCAGCAATACTCCATGCAAGGGCGAATGGTTGATTTGTAGATTTGAAGGATCGACTCCGGGGAGAAAAAATTCCTGGCGCGGCACAAGGAGCCAACTTTCCTTGTGGTGGACGAAGCAATTGACTCAATGTATTTGTTCCATCTCAGGTCAGCCGTCAACGTGAGACCGAGCAGCCGCAGAGAGGTGCTCTCTTAGACATTCTAATGGGGGGCAGGGAAGGATCTCTGTAGTGATTAATAGAGAGCAGTTTTGTTTTTGAGGTGTTAAAATTAACAAGCTAATCCCTGTCCAGTTCACAACCGATTAGAGGTCCTTTTCAAGACGAACGGCCAGGTTAGTTTTGTCAATTCAATTCACGGTTTGACAGGAATGATTGTATTAAGTCAAACAATCGACCTGTAATACCATAACCCTGGAGCTTGCGAAGAAGGCCGGCATGCCAAACCCTATCAAACGCTTTGGAGATGTCTAGGGCCACGGCACGAGCTTCTCCGTTATTTTGAAGGGCTTGGTAGACAGTTTCAGTGAGCACATCAGCTATAGATCGGGCAAAGCGGAAGCCATATTGCTTGTCTGAGAGCAGATCATGGGATATAAGGTGATTAACCACTTCGGCGTTGATCAAAGCTTCGAAGACTTTGCTGAAGAAGGGTAGGAGACTGTTAGGACGGTAATTAGAAGGGTCAGAGGGGTTGCCAGAGTTCTTAAAGACAAGAACAATCGATGAGGACTTCCAGCAGTCTGGAAAACAAGATTCCTTGAGGCAGTGGTTATATAATTTGGAGAGGGCGGGCACCAGTTCAGGCGCACATTTCTTCAAGACAATGGCTGGTATCCCATCTCCATCACTAGCCTTGTGAGGGTCTACATTAGAGATAATGCCCAATACCAATGAAGGGGGTTAGTACAACTCACTCAAAAGGGCCTCAGTTCTAAGAGGGAAATCAGGTATGGGTACACCGGAAGAGTCGAGCGTTGAATTGAATGAAAATTTCCGAGCAAAGCATTCAGCCTTGTCGGCAGAGGAGATCAGGACCTCAAACTGGTTGAACAAAGGAGGTATAGAGGGTTTGCTATTGTTAAGTACGCTCTTGCAGAGACGCCAATAATTCTTGGAGCCAAATTTGCGAGATGCAATACGTTCTTTCATTCGAGCAGCAAATAGTGACATAGCTTCGTTGAGGACACGCTTACACTCGTTACGGGCAGAGGCAAAGAGACGTCTATTGCAGTCGGACATGTCGCTACGATATAAGTGGAAGAAGTGGTTCCTATGGGCAATGGCGGCTGAGCAAGCAGCGGAGAACCAAGGGGAGGAGCGCGATTTGACCTTATATTTCCTTGAGGGGATGAAAGCGTCGATTCCAGCTTTAACCCAGGAGGAGACCTCAGAAGCACATTCTTGAACGGGGCGCGTAAAGACAACATCCCAGGGGACATCGCGGAAGAAATCACGGAACGAGTCCCAGTCAGCTCGTTGATAACAGAACGAGGTTCTAGTGGCAGAAGGTTCTTTGCAGGGGGTGGAGTTGAAGGAGATGCTGACAGACACTACAGCATGATCGGAGTTACCAAGAGGGCAGAACTGCGTGGCGTTACAAGACTCTGTGATGGAGATAAAACATAGATCGAGATTCTGTGCGTGACCATCAAACCAAGTCTCATAGCATTCTGATAGAAGCTAATTAGAAGAATCTGAAGTTTTTCTTGAATTTTTGTGCGTTACAATTTTCATCGATATTTCTAGTGTGTTGAGATTCGACATGGCGCTGAAACTGTTGTAAGTTGTGAACAGTTTAGAATTTTTATCTTGCGATTAGTTTCTAATATTGCAAAAGAGATCTGAGAAGTGGATTGTTTTTTATCATTTGTCCTCAGATATAATCAACTTATTTATTGTTTTTGTTGAAATGAAATTCAAGTTCTGCTAAATTCATAAACTGTCGTGTACGGATAATAAAGTAGGAAAGTGTTTTGAAGAAAAATTAGCATGAGGATGAGTAAAGAGGGAAAAGAAAGAAAAGAAAGAATAAAGAAAACCGAGCTGGAAAAAAAAGAAAAATATGTGGAGAAAGAAAGAGAGAGAGAAAGAATATGAAACTAAATGATGTTTCAGAGAGGATTAATTAGAAAGATAGAAAATAGTGATAAAGATAGATAGATAGATAGAGAGAGAGAGAGAGAGAGAGAGAGAGAGAGAGAGAGAGAGAGAGAGAGATAAAAAAGACAGACGGAAATAGAGAGACAAAGAAAAGAAAGTTTTATAGTGGAGAGAAAGAGAGAGAAAGAAAGGTTAAAAACGAATAGAAAATAAATGGAGTCGAGGGAAAATTTAAAGCCATAGAATTATTGAGAGAGATGCAGAGAGAGAGAGAGACAGACAGAGAGACAGACAGACAGACAGGGATTGAGAGGGACAATAACTGAAATCTTAAAGAAGAAAGCAAAAGAATGAAAAAGAAAACGAAAATGCCAAAACAAAAGAGACGTCTGTGTAAATATACTGTCCATCTCATCTGGCCATCTAATAAGTTCTCAGTCGATAAGGTTAAATGCAAGCGAAGGTAATCTCCGGTAGTGGCTGTATTTCTTGCATTGGGCAGTTGGCCTGAGCAAATTCGGGCAAGAGTAGGCCGGGCAGTATTCCGTGACTGTTCGCCATCACGAAATCTGTCATGACTCCTCGTACGGCGACGTTTATTATTATGGGAAAAGCCTCCTTATTTGTTTTGAGCCCTCTTTTCGACCTCCAATGTTTACTTTTAAAATGACCGGTTTAATGGAGTGAAAATTGCTTTTGAGTGTGTATGCGCAACTCGAATGGCGTTTCGTTATGAGTTTTAGAATAAATTTGTGTTTATATTTGTACTAGCAAGTTTGTCTTGTATGTCTATGTATGATGGCGAAAATGCTCCTGAATGCTGCAGCGAAATAGACTGTCGTTGTGTATTTATAGTTAAACAATATTATTAATGTTATTTTGTGAGCTTGCTTGAAACTTTGTGAACATAATCATCACTCTATTCCTCTCGCATATTTCTCTGTGAGATGTGTATACTCGCTAAGTTTTCATCTTTTTTCAGTACACACAAATATATATATCTATATATCTATATATATATATATATATATATATAAGGTACACATCTGGGCGGGATAAGGACCTACTGTAATGTTACGCAGCCTGCACTAAATTTTAAAATTCTCATTTCTCTTTCAGATGTATCCAGACATGCCAGCTTTCAGTCATATACAGGAAATTAGAAGACATGCCATACTTGTGACACTACTTACACGATGTACTTGTTATCTCCGAGTCGTTGTATTCTAAGCAGCGCGACTCGGAAAATGAAGAAAATCGTCACGTGAACTGGAGTCATGTAAATTTCGTGTGCCTTTACATTGTCAGTGATAAGCCCTAGCGGTCTTAAGTAACGAAGTCTATGTCATACTACCTAACTTCTCGCAGGGCTAATGCAATCACTCACATCGAGTTGCTGGACCACTTGGATGAGTAAGGTTGGGATGTATGGGTTCTACGTATGTGTTCACTCCCACATAGCAACATAACTCAAGAGGGGCTGTTCAAAAATTTTCATGTAACAGACGAATCCTGCTAGGAGATATTCTTTCAAAATATCATTTAACAATAAAAAAAAAACGTGTACATAGATGAAAACACATAGAGGGTAGAGCAAATTTATCCGTTCGGTACAATTAATTTCATTTAAATAATATAATTCGTTTTTCAAATACTGAAGCAGATATTTATATATAAGTTTGGATATGATGTTAGGTGTCAAATAAATATTCATAATGCCTTTCAGTACATTTTAATTACCAGGGGCAAAATAATAAACAAGGATAAAATTATCCGTCAGTAGCATAACCTTCCTCGGAAATAACTTTAAACTTTTTCTGTAGATGAGAAAAAATAAAATTCATAAATAAAAGATAAAAATTGAATTCCAAATATAAATACAAAAATAAATTCCATTTACTCTACCTACAACCAGACTCTGATTCCAACAACTAAACAAGTAATAACCCATAACCCCAAATTAACAACTCTACTTTGTTCTATTGCAAGTCATTTGAAATTCAATTTATGCTGTCAATAACTGCGTTGGTGAATGAAACGGAGAAATTTAAATGTTTACTATATGCAAAATCAGTTATTTGAAAAAGAACAACAAGAACAAAGAACAGCTATAAGTGTTATTTCAGTGACACTTCAAATTGATGTTTATGCGTAGGAAAGAATTTTTTTTTTAATTCAAATAACAACCATATCTTGATTTTAAGTTACTCAAAATTACCTATGTTCGCCATTAATCAGGAAACAAGATATTTAATGGGAAAGAGTGCAGGGAAGTGGATTCATGCCTTTTCTAAGTGTATTAATGCTAAGTGAACACGGTCAACCTCAAGCAAAATTCGAACTCGGATTGTCGACTGCGTTTTCCATCCGGATGACCATGACAGGATCCTGTCCTTTTTTTTTAGATTAAACGTAGATTACTGTTACGATTATTGTTTCCCCGTTCCCGTTGAACAAAGGTCGTGTGTTCACAAAACACGTGTTATTGAGTAGAACGTTTATAATCATAGACAAGTATGGAGATTGAAAAATAAGAATCAGGAAAAGAGAATGAATGGTTAAAACATTATCAACAACAATAAATTATTCAGGTATGTCATTTTATCTCGACTGGATAGGATTTTCTGTGAACAAGGAAAATATCTTTCAAGGAACAAGTATGGCTATCTGAGCGGACCGTAAGATAGAAACTAAAACAAGAATGGAAAGAAAAACCTTCAGAGAAAAGTATGTTTAATGTCAGTCTTCGAATTTAGAGAAACTTATCAGATTTTGATGTGAATAACAAAGAACACAAACCAGAGACTGTTCTAGATAAATATGAATTAATATAATCTGGAATTTTGAAATCCAAATAGACAACAATTCCCCTCTGTGCAAAAAATCTGAAACTAGTTGTGGCGAATAAAGTAAAGGAATTCTTGCTGAAGTGTCTCTTCTGGCAGGGCGTAGTTTGAACATTAAAAAATGAAAATTAGAGATTAACCAGGACTTCGCTCGAAAACTGAGAAAAGGGAGAGAGAGTGCCATGTTTCTCATAGCTGGCAGGCTGAACACAAGATACATGAAGCGAGATTGAAACAATTCGCTTGGGTTAGGATTTTGGCAACAGTGTTAAAGAAGATGCTGAAGATCTGCGGAGAATTAGTATTCATTAGTTCACTAGTGTTTCAATAACAAACATGAATAATAATAAGTATAATAAATATAAAAAAATATCAAAACCTACCCCTCCCACATACTACGCGTGCATTTCACTATGATGCACCTTCTTGTTATACTCTTATCGGCCTGGATGTCATGGGCTCAACGTATATTTGAACCCCATTGTCAATTGGTTGGCGTACTGCCCTCTCACTCAACAACAAGAACAACAACAACAACAATAATAATAATTCAGTAGTTGTTATGTTAGCGTCAAATATACAAAAACTCTGGCTAATTAATCTCACATTTGTTATTTTACAAGACTTCTATGAATAATCATATTTTGATTTTAAAAATTTTATTGATTAGCTAAAAAATATCCTTTAAATATAAAGCGCTTCTATTTACAATGGGGCCATACTTTATATACCTTGAAAATTTTTGGCGTAACACTTACTTAATAAATTCTTTAAAATTATTAAAATCAAAGAAGCAGGCAACCCTATTGAAAATTCCACCATCAAATGTGAGTACAATGTGTAGTTTGAATATAAAATGCCGGTGGAAAGTAATTCTAGCTTTCTAACGTGTGTAGAACGCTTATGAAAATGCGTGGATTTAGTTACTTTGGCTACGAGCATGTGCAGATTTTCCTGTTTGTGGGCCCACTGTCGATGTGGGAGAAACATGAAGGTTTGATGTCGAGTGACTAAGAATAGAGCGCGCATTGCTAGAGATTTCGGAAGAGAATAAAGATAAACAGTGACGATAAGTTACGCTGAAATCTCCAGATTCTTTTTAGATAACTGAAGTTAAGAATCTACAAATTTGGTCAATATTGAGATGAGGAACCGCTTGCGGGAAAGCTGGTACTGCAAAGAGCAACTTATGGCCTTTGCAAGAACAAATTTTTAGTAAAGAAAAAGGAAGAAGTATATTGAATGAAAAAGGAAGAAGTATATTGAATGAAAGTGGTAGAAGGGTTGAAAAAAGCAAAAATATCAGGAAAAAAAATGTAAGAAAAAAAAAAGAGAAAAGAGAGAAAAAGATGGCAGCAATGTGATAAAAGAAAGAAGAGCATAATAGACGGTGGAAAGAAAAGGTAAAAAAAAAAAATGCTTTGTTCTGTAGAAGTTTAACAATTGAATGTCCAAAAGTCGAAATTGTAAACGAATGGTTCACAGTGAGACGCTCACGAATAGTTTCTTCCTTTTTAAAAAGACATTTGGGTTTGTTTGTTGTACGAATCTCACACGTTTCGGCTTTCATTCTGTTTGACAGAAAACCCTAGTCGTGTTTTAACTCACCTTAAAAAGGAAGTTTCTTCATTTTTTTTTTTTGGCTTCTAAGCCAATTTCTTCTTTGATTGGTAAAGTAAAGTAAATCTCAGAATCTTAAACAACTTAAGAAAATGTTTCAATCACGCAATTCTAATTTCTACGTTGTAATTGCAAAAATTGTGTAGCTACTCCAGCATAGATTGGAAATATTCCAAAAGCCCAATGTATTAACTTCCTCAGAGTTTTAAAGAACATTTTTGTAGAGTTATCCAGAAAGAGCGGTCACTTCCAATGTTAACAAACATATCGTCTTTTATGGATGTTGAGCGTGCAGACAGAAAACGAGATTTTCTATTGAAACACTTGAAGAAAAAACCCCATTAAAAACGCCTTGTTTTCAATTTAGAAGTAGAAATAATTATCTTTACTGCATTTCTTTGATATGCAGGTACATCAGAAAAAGTCCGCAGTCGAATGACAAAATGGCATTTATTTTAGACATTTGTTTATCTGCATTTCCTTTTTTTTTTTGCTAATGTTCACCCAATACAAGGCCCTAAGCACCACTCAAGGTAGAGGGTTACTGTGGGAAGTTGTATTAGCATAAGAAAGGGCAAGCTAACAGGAAAAATGATTTGGAGAGGTCAAGATTTAATTAGCGATAAAAATTTTCAGACATTAGGAAACTTTAGAAGGAACCAAAAATCCAACACTAAATAGGAAACAAGGGACGAACCTCTAATCCTCTTCAAAAGACCGGGGAGGAGTCTAAACCGCACGATAGACACACCTATCTACTCCTATTTCTTCTTCAATGTTAATCATAACTTGTTGAGTATGTAGATCGAATACTGTACGGGGAAATTTCATATCAAAATTCAACTAACTAGAGTATATATAATGTGGAGTGAAAAGTTGATCTGACTCTAAAGAAGTGGATGTAATCAGTCTGTTAGGATTGTAAACGCGTTACGAGCTCTTTCTGCAAAATCCGACGTGGCATTCAGACAATTACTGTTCTCAGTTAGACCCATTAAAGCCAACATTCGATGAAAAAAACGGGAGGTCATTATCTTCCATCAGGACAACGCCAGAACTCATGTCTCTGTAGACTCAACGGGAATTGGTACAGATTGGGCTGCGTTACATCTGCCATACTCACCTGACCTTACACCTTCGGATTAGCACTTATTTCGATTCGTAATGAGAAGAAGTTCAAGTCTCTTGAATCCTATAAAACCACTTAGAACAATTCATCTCCGAAAGAGATGCTAAGTTCTGCCTCAAAGATGGTGAAAGGGTGTGGAATAAAATGGTACAGATGTAGTTGAATAAATCTATGGATAAATATCGTCTTTGAAATTCACTACAAACTTTTTCTTGACGCAATATATATATATATATATATATATATATATATATATATATAAGCGAATGGATTTTATTTATCAATCCGACTGATTTTTAGCACTTTAAACATTATTTTTAGTGGACACTACTATTAGTATGAGTAGACGCTCCATTTATTTATTAACCAGTATATTTCTTTCTTTCTGTCTTTCATCCTGAATATTCGAGAAAAATATGGGCTCTCCGGCAGGATTCAAACCTGCGACCCTCTGGGCAGAGGGAAATCATCGTTAGATCCGACGAGCCTCAACCAACTCAGCTGCGGATTGATAAATAAAGTCCATTACCTCAGAAAATTACTTTGTTTACGTTTGGATACGAAACTGAGCAGATATGAAAATTTCGAGGAATTTAATACAAGAAGGATTTCGCTTAAAGACACTGTTCAAACTTTGCTTTATTGGTGAAGCTGCATGCAGAGTGACGCAGGTTCGAATCCTGCCGGAGCGCGCATATTTTTCTTTACTAAGATTTCTCGAATATAATCAGGCCTGCAGACGGAAATAAATATACTGTTTAATAAATAAATGGAACGTCTACTCAAATATGAGTATCCACTGAAATAACTTTTAAAGTTATGTGTTTGTGTTTGTGTGTCTCTGTGTTTTCGAGCCACACAGTCTGGCAAAAGGATGAAATAAATCGAAAGTACGAAAGAGAGAGCAAGAGAGAGCGAGAGGGAACGAGAGAGAGAGAGAGAGAGAGAGAGAGAGAGAGAGAGAGGTTAATAGAAAGAATGTAACAGAAAAAATCTAAATATTCTGTGTGTGAAAGTGAAAAATATCTAAATGGATACATTTGGTATGGGTAAACTGTAAGAAAGAGAGAGAAATAAAAAAGAAATAAGATGAAGGAAGGTGAATATAAAAGAAAGAAATCGAAGATGTGTAGGCAATAATAACAACATTATAAAAAACGGAGAGAAAGTGAAACGGAAGAAAAAGAAATGAAGGTACTGAAAGAGAGAGAGAGAAAGAGAGAGAGAGCGATAAAAAAAGAAAGAAACGGAGATTGAAGGTAAAAAGCAATAATATGAATAACTGAAGAAAGTATGAGAGAGTAAGAGAGAGATGGAAAATGGAGAGAATGAAAAAGAGGAAGAAAGCGAAAGAGAATGAAAGAGAATAAAGAGCAAAAGAAAAAGACGAATGCGAGAAAACGGAAAAGTGAAAAATGAAAAGAGCAAAAGAGAGTAAGATAAATACGGATAGGGATTTAAAAAGAAAAGCCGTAAAGAGGGAAAGAAGGAGATCATAAAAGAAAAGAAACAAAACAGAAGAGAGGACGAATAAAAATAAAAATGTGACAGTACCAAAGATGAAAGTTGAGAAGTAATAGAGTAAAAAAAAGAATAGGCGAATGAGAAAGAAAAAGGGTGGAAGAAAAAAGAAAGAAAGAAAGAAGAAGAAAGGGAAATGAGGAAAGGCGAAGAACTGATATGACATGAAGATGAGTGATGTAGAAATATGATTGGCCGAGAGCCTTTTCGCCATTTGTACAGCATTAACGATTGAAACGACGCACGCAAAATTGTCCTCAAACTCCCTGACAGCGCCAAACTGAGAGATGAGCTCGGCTTAGACTAGTTGCCCTCTAATTCCAACCTGCCTCAACCAAATCTCCCACCTCCCTACGGCATAAAGGTGCATGCGGCTGCCCAAATACCCATGCTTAGTCGCCTACGCATGCGTATAAATGTGCCTGCTGTAACGCGTGTGTTAGCGTTGTTTCGGTCATTTGAGTTGAGCATCGACCATGAGGGCTTAAAACGGTGCCACCACGGTTGCCATTTGGTCTGTGTGCGTGTCAATAGAGATACCTGAGCAACTGGAGCGTTTCGGATTTTACAAGCATACATTTTAATAAATTGTCGTCATTAAGTTAGAGAACGCGGAAAGAAAACAACAAATTTAATTCGCAATTTTTAGAAATTAGAACTTTAGCTACAATCTATATATTAAATAGGTAAAGTTTGGGCGGGTTTTGTCAGGCGTTTTTATCATATTTGTATTCACATAAAATTGGCATCTTAAGCCTTTTTGCGTACTTGTAAAATCAACAATACACCCATGTTACATGTTAATTTACGATACTTGTTTCATTATTGAGAAGTTTAGTTTTGTAACAAAAGGACAAACAGTGGCGTGTTGACTTTTAGCACGAGACATTGACCTTTTGAATAAAAATATTTTACGCGAAGGCGTTTTCTCTGGATGTTGGCGCTACATTTTCTTCCTTGTTTAGATAAATAGCTTTTATATTGATATCTGTCTATTTTTCTGAGATGGGGTATTATGTATGTACACTATTTACATTATTCAGACTATTCTCGCCATATTTATTACAACGTTTCGGCCGTTGTATGCTCCGTCCTTCTTCAGGTGGTTGGAATGTCGAACTGAACCCTTTATTTCGCTCACTGGGGTAGACTGTTCTAGTTCCACGTGCCATGTTTAATGGATGTCAGTTATCAGTTATCTCCTGTTAATTCCCCTCTCCATGCCTTAACCGGGTATTGAACTCACACTCTTTGGGCACTGTCACTAGATCTAATCCACTGTGCCATATGTCCGTGAGGACATCTGTGTATGAATTTCTGGATATTATAATCCTAATGTCTCAGCAAAAGTTTTTTTACAAGTGCTCATAATTCAATTTTTTGCTGTTATCATTGCATGTTTTTACCAGAGCTCATAGTGCAATTTTTGCTGTTATTATTGCTTTTCTCTGGCGCACCTTATTACTGGTTCCCATATTGTATTTATTTCTATGCCCAGGAGATTTTTGTGGCCTAGCATATGTGCTGATTCCTTAAGTTTACGAATTTTCCAATGGTGTTCTTTGTCTATGATCGCAACCTGATCACACAGAGGGTGATGATCTCTCTTTTCTCTCTATATGTGGTCAGCCATGCCTGATTTTTCCACTTCCCCTCGTGTTACAGCTTTCTGGTGTTCTTGAAGCCTTACCTTAGGGGGGTGGCCTGTCTCTCCTGTATAAGATCAGGACAACATTCAAAAGCCGGACGTCACTTCGCAGATATCTCTCTCAAGTAAGACCCCCCCCCATAGAGGAGAACATGACTAAAGACTGTCTGCACGCTATCCCGTGTAGCTGCGGAAAGTATAGGGGAGACAGACCACCTCTTTTTTTTCGCTTCTCTGTCTTCTCTTGAATTTAGAGTTTTACAAAACTAAAAGTTGATAAAATGGTAAATTAATAATTTATCTTGAAAGGCATGAAAATATATTGCTGAAGTTGAACACAGAGTTCAAGTAGTCAATGTCTCTATTTGAATGAATGTTAAATGGAAGCCATTTTTTTATAGTTCGATGTCCAAGTCACGTTTATTTTTTTTCATTCTCTTATTTTTCCTCTCCCAGGCCTCTTATGGCATTCGCTAACTGATATATGATCATTTCTTCGTTTGTAATTGTTGTTGTCATTGGAGTGGATGATATTTTTTATATTAAAACATCCTATTTTTTTCTGCTTTCTAATGTAACCCCTGATTGCTTGCATCATTTCGACTGCATCACCATTTCGACTGCATCATCATCATCATTTCCACACAGTCATATATGTTTTTGTACTCTTCATGAGTTAAATTACTGCATAAATTTTCACAAAATGATTTGGCTTTTCAACTCTATATTAACGTTTACAACGCATACTATGTTTGCCTCTTGTTCCTTTTAGTTAATTTAATATGTGTGTTCTTAGCTGTTCTTACTAGTTTTACTGTTTCCCTTTTTAAGTGTTCTTTGCGCATCAATATTTCACCTGGTTCTCCTTTTCTTGATTCTTGAATGTTCTATTAGCTTTTTTTATATAATTTTTACTTTTAGTTTTGGGGTTTATTTATTTATATCCAATATTATCCAATATTTGTCTTAAATTAGTTATGTTGTATTTCCTGGCTGTTATTATTATCATTATTATGAAGATGTTTAACTTGATGTTGTAGAGAATCCATTTCTCATTGTAAATTATATTAAAAATTTTTTTTTCTCCAGCATCCGTTAAGGATGTAAAAATATTTTTTTCTGTCTGCAAGGCTATGTATTTATGTGTATTTCTCTTGGAACAAGTGACCTTCACTTTTGTCTGGTGATCAACATATTACCAAGTCCGGAAGTTATGGAAACATTATTTTTGCTTATTTATTTTCAAGATGAATGTCATTCATCACTTTTTAAAGCTTATTAATTCATCTACTCATCTCGTGACAAAATCTCATAGGAAACACACCTCTCTCCTATTCGTGCTGATTCAACAATGTAGTCAACTGACTGCTAATGGATTGTTTAATTAGAATATGTTTCCCGCCTATGAGACTCCGTAATCGACCGGCGTCATCTTTCTGTGCCACGAAAACGCTATTAATGGCATACTGGAAATGCATGAGCGGACACTGCAACCTTCTTGATATACTTTACTGCACACGTTTAAATGATGGATACTGCCGTATGACGTTTTGGCTTCACAGGAACAGACGAGCCGTGATCCGTTCAAGGTAGTGACTTTAGAACATTCTGGCTTTTATTATCATTATTATCGGAAGATGTATCAATCCTCCTCCTCCTACTCCTCCTCCTCCTCTTCAGCAGTTGCATTTATTATCATTCAGCGGTCTCCTTTAGCCGCGATTTAGTTTTCCATGGCGTTCTTTACCCGCGGCCAACCCTCCCTCAGAAACAAACAATTCTTAAGTTTTACTTAATAACAGCCATAAAGTGTGCGAATAGTAATGCTTGGAATTCTGATATGTCAAAGAGAAGTCGTAATGAGCTTCCTTCAAATGAAAAAGTGAATATTCTTGACTTATTAAAGAAAAGAAAAACTATGCTGAGATTGCTAAGAACTACGATAAAAACCAATTTTCTATCCGTCACATATCTTTTATTAGCGTATATTGTTACGGTTGGTTTATGTTTATTAGTTATTGTTGTCAAACTCTTCGTGTATTTAATTTATAAAATAACATTTATTATAGGTATGCATCGGAAAAAGTATATAAAGAGTTTAGTGCTGTCGGGGATTTCGGACAAGTATTCGGTGTCTTGGAAGATATTCCCACGGATAAGAAGCGCTACTGTAATTTCAAACAAGAATACTATGATAATTGATATTTTCTTCTTTCTCTCTTTTTCCGATTCATTACTTCAATTATTTCTACCATTACATTTTTATTTTGTTATGATTATGACTACTATTATTAATATATTGGTACTCATTGCGTTTTAATGCTATCAGTAGCTGGCGGTTTTCACTGGAGATTAAGCGGCAATGAATTTCCTCAATAAACCAAAACTTTCCTCTGATTTTAGTAATGATGTTCTCTGAATGTTTTTTTTTTTTAATTACCAATTCTTTGAATCTTTGTCTAAGAACCTTCGAGAGTTCTCAAATAATAATGTGGATTATTTCTTTTGATCCAGAAATTTTATTAAATTCTTTGTTTTACTTTGTGCCCAATCAATTTACTATTTTTTTGTTTACGATGATTTCTGGCCTGACGAAGCCATTTTCAAAGTATCAAACAATTCAAATCACAGTCCTTATCCCAATTTTCACTGGATCATTCTACCATGACTACTTCTTTGTATTAAATGTTATTTGGCTTATATGACTGACGGTTTTATTTGAATCAACGCATATTTTATATTCATTTTTGTTGCGTTCTGTATTTGTGTTATTATAACTGGTTATTATAGAATAATTAATAAGGATTCAATTTCTATCTTCAAATATCCTCTCCATACCAATATCGCGTCATCTGTAATTCCTTATTCTTTTCTATGGAAATATCCATACGGTTGTTTCCTTCCTATTTTAGAGATGTCTGAATCCCTTTCTTTCTGTCAGTTCTGTTGAAATTTTTGGTTGTTTAAGTTTCATTGTTCAGCCTTGTGTAATTCACCAAGTCCCCTGAGTCAACATTGTTCTCCTCGTCACTATTTCCTTTTCACACAAATACTATTCATGTCATGCCTCAAGTACAATCTTTTATACATTGCTTTCAATTTCCTTATTTTGTGATCCAAATTTCTCAGATTTTCTCATCCAGTTTTAGACAAGCTTCCTATATCTCCAAATCAAATACTGCCTATACATTTATTCCTTTGATCATGTTTCACTTGAGATTTGTTTACAATGCTTTCCAGTGGATCATTTTCCATAACCAATGCCGCCAATTTTTATTCACTTTCTGAGACACTTGGTTAATTCTTATAAAATTAATAGCCTCACTTTTATGCAACAAAATGAGTTCCCCATTTTGCTGTGTCCTCTCTCTCTCTCTCTCTCTCTCTCTCTCTCTCTCTCTCCCTTTGTCAGATTATTATTGGATCTTATACCGAGATGTTATGGTATAGCAGTATGCAAAAAAAGGTGGCATTACTGTATGATATCATGAAAATGCTCGGAACTACATCACTTATGATCTGACAACCGGAGAATCAGGGTTAACACTGGCTAGACAAGATCATGGCAAGAGTATGTGAATTATTGTGGTTATTACGGAATATGATAATGGGAAACAAACGGATGGGACATTCCAGGAATCCTTAATGATAGTGACAAGAAGTATCTGGCTAGTGAGGTCTATGGTAACAGACAAGCAACACTGGCTCAAATCACACCTGCAAACAATGACAGGATGTTCCAGCAGAATAGAGTTGGAACATTCTTGAAACTTTCGACAAATGGTGTTGTCACGCTGTTCGTCCGACATGAAACCCAATCGAGTATTATTGGGACGTGGCGGAGAAGTCTAACCTTATGCAAGATCCTCCACCTACAAATATCAAGGAAATGTAGACAGTTATCGAGGTTTCAACCACTCGTGTAATCGATGCCACGTCGTTTCTGCATTTTACCGAGGTAGTAGGGTCCCTAGACAATACTAAGCACCGATCCCATGACTTTTGAAAGCTCATTATATAGAATTGTTCAGAGCCGCCATTAGTAGGTATTCATTTTTCTCAATACTTAAATTACGGAAATTCCTTGCAATGAAGAATCTTTAGTTCTAAAGAACATCGCAATTTCACGGGTACTTCCGATTTCCTGCAGATATATTTTAGGATACGGCATCCGTGATAGCTGGTGTTCTCTTAAACTTTATTATATCTTGTACTCACACCTTTGTTTTACTTAATACTTATTACTTATTTTATATAATAATCTTCACTAGCATTCAATACCTTGAAAAAATTTGTTCTGAACTATATATATAAAAAAGAAACAAAGAAGAAACAGGATAAAAACTGGTTATAAAACAAGTGTAGCACCTAAAATTATAAATACATATGTAAATTAAAGTAACTTTATTTACTGGCTATGTAATTAGCAAGACGTGTACAGTCCGTGGATTTCAATTTGTTTCTGTATATCTACGGCCAAAGGACATAGATATGCAGCCGTAATTTTTTTCCATTGAATCTCAAAAAACTGTTAGTAACTGTCGTTATATTCTTTGCGTGAAAATTAACGCAGATAATATTCTATAGATTCTCAATTTAATTGATATCTGGACTTTAGGCAGTGCATACCATAACTTTGATATTTTCAGCTTCGAAAAATTGTTGTTTATAGCGTGACAAAAGCTATTGTCTTGCACCAAGATGGGTCAGGGACAGGAAATTATTTCAGAGCAGGAACAACATGCTGTTCAATAATATTCTTATACACTGCAGCATTTACTTTGGTATGTAACCGAATGAGTTGGCCAATAGCAGTGCCAGAGAACAACCCTCATATCAATAGGCCTTGACCTACGAATTTAACTAATCTTTGCACACATCTGGGACGCAATCTCTCACATTTACATCGTCTCTGGTGTATTACTTGTCGCCTGACCCAACCAAATTAAACTTTCTTTCATCCGGCCTAATTTATCGTTCATTTGCAAAGTTTAGTCTAGGTTTTGGGCTTTTCTTGTTAATTAGAAGTCGGCAGAAGAAAATACATGAAATCTATTTCACATAAAAACAATGCAACACTGTCTACCAAAATAGTTTGATTTTTCGGTTATCTGACGTGCAGTACCCGTTACTGTGTTCACTGTATCTTTAAATCGCCCGATTCTGCCGAAGTGTCGTTTTATGTGGCCACTTAAAGAGGCCAGTAAATGTCATACTCTTAAATCTCATACCCTTAAATGTATTAACTGCTTTAGTTTTACAGTAGCAAAAATCGTCACTCCTTCGGCGGCTGATTGGTCACCAAATTTGCAATGGCTTGCCATTGGGACAACTAACATAATACAGACTACGGATAAAGAGTATTTGTTTACATTGCAAACTTGACAAAATGTCCTTAACATTTTTTAAATATTTTTCTCTAGAAATCAGTCATAAGTATAATGATTTTCTAATTGATTTTTGTAATAATATTTTGCTTTAGAAATATTTTCATCTTTGGCGATTTTTTAAATGAAAAACCATAAGAATATTTACCGCAATTTATATCACGATAAAATGTGTAGAATTAGAAATGTTTAACTAATACTAGGCACTATATTAGGTACTACCACTATGTCACGAAAAGACAGCATAGCATAATGAAAAGGGCTACAAACTTAATCAAAACAAAGTTTTATCGTCAAAATGTTTATGTTATAAAAGACCAAAGTATTTTGTGATTATTTTTTGAAATTATTAAATTTTTTGAAATTTTTAAAGTTCGAAATTTGTGTTAAAAATTTTGTTTTGTTTACGTCATCGCGGGACGTAATAATTACAAATACTGTGGGAGGCACGGTGGAGTAGTAGGAGACACAGCAATGGATAGCGGCTCGGATTGAGGAATTGGAGAGCCGAGTGAGAATTCCAGTCGAATCCATTACATTCACTTATGTGCTAATACCCTTGGGAAAAGTATGAAGCCTCTTCTTCCCCCCGCCCAGCTATGGATAAATAGCAGGACAATCCGGGTTCTATAGCCTTGGATGGTAACTGGTCTACAGCAGAAAGAAATGGCAACCTGCTGCTGGAAAAATCTGCTTCTTCAGTCATGTGTCGAAGATACATGTTCACTTAAGCGTGTACACAACTGACTGACTTTTGGTACTTTTTCAAATAATGAAACTTTCAGGACTTATTCACAAATGAATAAAAATTTTTTTTGAAATTTTTTGTTTTAGAAAGTTTTGGCAATTTTTTTTTTTACATATGCTGCCATTCATTTACTTAATTTCATGAAATTTCGCGAAATAACTTTCTATTTCTTGTTTTTTTTTTATTAGTTAAAAGTAGGACACCTTGGAGAATGTAAATCATTTAATTTTTTTTCAAACTTTTACTATTCTAACTGAAAATCTGCTCCAAATAGTAAACTAAAAAATGTAATCAAAATATGATATTATTTAATTGGAAAAGCTTTTAATTCTTTTTGTAAATAAGTTATATTAAGGGCACTATTGTCTTAAGAAAGAAATTTTTTTCGATGGATAATGAATTTTTACAAGAAGGTTTTCATTTTTTAAAAAAATTTAATTATAATAATTTATGACAGTTTAAAATTCTATATTGCGTTATTTCTTGGATGTAATATCGTAATTAAGTGGAAACGAAATTTACGATTCCAAAATTCAGTTATGCGCCATGCATGATATACGCTTAGGCGATCATGACTGATGAGACAGTTTTTTTTCCCCTGCTATTTCTTTCTGCGGTAGTCCTGCTATTTTCCTATAGCTGGGGGAGAAGAAGAGGATTCATACATTTCCCAAGGGTATTATTCGTAAGTGAATGCAATGGATTCGGCTGGAATTCGAAATCGGCTCTCCGATTCCTCAATCCGAGCTGCTATCCATTACTCCACCGTACTATCCTATTTCTAAAATAATTTTTTATTTTTCACTTTAATTGTTACCTTTTCCATCTATGATAGCCTAAATAGGACATTATTATAAAAAGGTCACGTGCTTGGATTGAAGAAAATAGAAAAATGTTTTTTAGCAAATGTTAATTAAAATTTATTAACTATCAATGATTAAACAATATTTTAATTATTATTAAAAAAATTCCAGATTAATGTGTTAATTTTCTTGTTTACTTATCTTTATTTTAAATTTTATCTGTTGTTAAATTTTAAAATTAATTTAAGAAAATTGTATAGTACTTTATTTTTTTTTTGTTTTTTCAAAAAGAATCTTCAAACGTAACTAAAAGTCTACAAAATATTAAAAAAATGTTGAAATATGTTAATTTGTAAAAATTACTAGGTAGTTAAAAACTAAAAAAAATATATTCACTTAGATTTTGTAAATTTATGTCAATTCTGGTCATCCATACGAGCTGTCATCACCTTATCAAAACGTCAATAAAAATCAAAGAAAATCAGGACCCGTCGTTAAGAAATTCTTGTATATTACTTTTTATGCTATAAGTAAGTAATATTTATTTCAAATCAGATTAATTTAACTTTGAATTTGCTAATTTTACTCAAATAACGTGTGAGAAATATATATTTTATTTTTGGAAGATTTTTAAAACCGATAATTTTGTTTTGTTTACAAATTTCTTAAAATTAAGAAGTTTTTGTTGTTAAATCGAGCAAATAGTTGACATTCCAATCTATATAATTTCTATTTAAAATAAACTATATTATACTTACTGGAAATAATAAATTTAATCATTTAGCTTTAAATTAAAGCTAAAATGGAATCTTCAAGAATGCTTTTTCATTTTAAAAAAATCATTAACCCTTAGGTATTGACGTTATATATATATATATATATATATATATATATATATATATATATATATATATATATATAATTATTTATTTAAAAAAAATTATAACATAAATATGTTATAAAATCACTACAATAATAGCCATTTGTTTCAACACCTCCGGTGTCTTATCAAGTGATGATGTTGAATGTAAAATAAATGGTTTTAAAAGTTTCAAATTAATTAACGATCCTTCGCAAGGGGAAAACGTTGTTACAAAAGCTTGACAACGAATCATGTTATAATAGCTATTCAGATCTTTAAAATACGGGTAATATTAAAAAATAATTTATTCTAACCAATAATTATTAAATTATATGATAAAATTTGATATTAAAATTAAAAACTGCCAAATTTAAAATACAAATTTAATCACTATTAAGTTTAAAATTATAAAATTACTGAGGAGAAAAGAAGAAATACATATGTTATTCAATTTATTTCTTCATTGAAATTACGTTAGAATAGACGCTACGTCATCTGGTCCACTGACAATATATGTATACATTTTAATCCCAAGTGTGTGAATGTGGTCCTAACTTCACGCGTAAAACAACACAAGCACAATCAAATTATAATACATAAGCACCCAGACATATTTAGATATATATACCCCCCAAAAAAGTGACGAGGCAGGGAACATCTCCACGGCCCTTTATGAAAAAAAAAGGTGGGGGAAACCAACACATACATACATACACAATTAAAAGTGAATGCACTTTCCATACACATAGACACCGATAAATACATGTACACGCATTCACAGACATTGACCTAGACAATCAGATACCACAACCAATAAATATTTAAGACTGGAAAGTGTCATTAAACAAATGCTAACCACTTATTAAAATATAACTTAAGCGAGCAAATATACAAAGATAAAAATGGTTAAAAAAAATATTATTTAATATATTAAAAAACGAATATTCCAAACCCACAAATATCAATATATATATATATATATATATATATATATATATATATATATATATAAAAATACAGATTGGAATCTGCCGAACCCTAACACACACGCACACACACACATACACGTGTTTATAAAACGTTCCCACCAAAAAAGAAAGATTTTTGTAAAAAGAACAAAAGTATTATTTTTACAAAGATTTCAACGATGTTTACAAATACTTTAGTTTAAACGTTTTTTTTTTTCTGGTTTTCTAACCCGTCAGTGGCAGGCCGCTATGAAGGTTAACAAACTTTTGGCTACTACTATTTCTTCGGCTGTAGATTTATTGTGGGAGAGTGGTTTCTATAATTCCTCCCTCGTCCACTTTTCTCCTTGTCAGTCATAGCTGAATGCTAGTGACGAGTTATATATTTTTATCACAGAAAAATAAAATTGAGAAGATGGTATTAGTAGTAAAGGACAACGCTCACTCTCAGTGCCTCGTGACAAATACTCCCGCCCCAATCTATGGAGACAGACAGACAAATGCACACATACACAAACCACAAACACCAAAGGTTGGTGTTGTTCTGTACTTGCGGTTGCGTGTTTGCCACAATGTCGTATTTCGCAGCCAAAAACCAAGACATTGAGAATTAAAATAGCTCACATCGTGTGTACCGCTAGCTTTGTTTATTTCTAGCTAATTTGACATTCTATAAGCGGTGCTCCCCTTTTTCTGTCAGGCCTTTGAGGAATTCGGTTGTTGCAGTAAATGTCAAAAAATAACGGATGATAATGACGAATTCAATGTAACCGGATGGTTTGGTCTCCTTCTACAAACATTTCCATCAATTTCCCGACATGTCTCTATCAAGGCCAAACTGACCCCACAAACAGCAGACAAATTAGTCGACAAATGTATTTCTACGTTATTAGGTCGTAGTATTTTGATAGAATGGCATATCTCTCTCTTATTCATTAAATTTAAAATGTCATATGCATGTGTGAATATCTATCTATCTATCTATCTATCTATCTATCTATCTATCTGTACCGCCAAAGAAACGCGATACCTTAAAAAAAATGAAAAATCATGCTTGAAGTTTTTATTTTAGTTTTAATTTTAATCTAATAGATTAAATTTAATATTTCCAATAACCAAAATACTTTGCTGTATTTCAAAACTAATTTTTAAAAATTGACAGGAGTTTTTTTTTTTTTCAGAATTACGCCATTAGGATTTCCTCTTCAGTTAAAGCCGGCATAGAAATGCCAGATGAAACTTCAATCTTCTTCAAGGTTCATACCTGCATGCTCTTTGGAACTACTATTTCCGGCTATATCAGCGTGACAGTTCCCATCACAACAGACGCATATTCGGAGCTACACGTAATAAATGCAAACGTGTCCTCGAAGGAGCTAATTCTCTTTTTTTCTGAGAGAATGAGGCATCTCATAATCACTGGCAGTTCTGTAAAAGTTTATTAAATAAGTTTTTTTTATTCTTCCTCTTTTCAATCAACTGCTGATAAAGCTGAATGTTTCCCCCGTAAATTCTTAAACTCTATTCTTGACTCGTTTGGAGTATCCTTCCCTAACTTTCCATTTTGAACTGAGTCTCTGTTGAGTTATATACATATAATCCTTTCTATGGTTTCTGCTATCATCTCTAATCTGGATCCCCACAAAGCATGTGGACCTGATGATATCTTTGTAAGAGTCCTTAAAAAGTGTGAACCCGAAATGGCTCATGTTCTCTCTAAACTGTATAATAAATGTCTCGCTGCCTCTTGCTTTACTTCCCGTTGGAAATCCTTATCTCTTGTTCCAGTTTTTAAGAAATCGGGTGAACCGTCAGATCCTTCCAACTATCGGCCTATTAGCATTAGTCTACCTCCTTTTGGAAAATTACTAGAGGCCCTAATCAATGCTGAATTGGTTAAGCATCTCACATCACAGAGACTTTTTTCAGACAAGCAATATGGCTTGCGTTTCTCGAGGTCAACTGCTGATGTACTGACGATAATTGCCGAAAGAGTTTATTAAGCTCTAAAGAACGGTTAAATTCGGGTTGTAGCTTTGCACATACCAAAAGCTTTCGACAGGGTTTTTCTATACAGATCTTCTTAACAAATTGAAAAATTTCGATGTCTGCGGACAAATATTTCAACTGATCTAATCTTTCTTATCAAATTGGAAGCTGATGTAAAAGACGACCTTCAGTTTGTTGTTAATTGGGGTAAAGGGGTGCTTGTTAAATTTAATGTCTCCCAAACTAAACTGCTCTATTAATCATCTGAGATACCCCTTTCTGCCTTCAATCAGCATGGCTGATGCTGACCTCCAGGAGAGTGATTCATTGAGCCTTCTCTGGCTACCGTTCTCGACTAACATGCAGTGGAATGACTATATTGAATCCATTGCTAAATCACTTGCTAAGAATGTTGGTTCATTGCATCGTGCTTGACAATTTTTCTCTCCAGAATCTATCTTACATATCTATAAGTCTACCATTCGTCCATGATTAGAATATTTGCTGCCACATATAGTCCGGTACCCCGCTATATATCTAGAGATTCTTGATAAAATCCTATATTTTTATTGGTCCTGATCTGGCGTCTCGGCTTTCCCATCGTCGTAAAGGTTGCCTCCTTGTGCGTTTTGTATAAATACATTCATGGTAATTGTTCGGATGAGCTCTTCACTATGACTATCTTGACTTTATGAATTGAAGAGCAGTACTAGGCTGGCGACGAGATTTCATCGAGTTACGGTTGAGTTAGCTTAGATATAACTATAAATTCTATGCTAACAATTTCTTTTCTCGCAGTTCTCGCTTGTGGAAACCCTTCCAGCTCCATGTTTTCCAGCTAACTTTAATTTTCAAAAATGTAAATACAATGTCAATCTCTATCTATTGTCCTCCCGATTATTCTTTTTTTTTGTTCTCGTTCTTGAGTAAAATGTTTCTGCTTTCTAATTCTTCTGCACACAGTAACCTCTTGTGTTTTATTGGCTTTAAATTATTGCTTGTGGTGAACCCTATTAAAAAAAATACACACTAAAAATCGTTGATTTTAGATATCGATCAGCACAATGAAATTCTCTTTATTAAAAAATCTTTCAAAGTAAAATATAATTTTCTGAAACTTTATTTGAGGAATATTAGCTGAATTAAAATTGAATTACTCTGATCTGAAACAAATATTACTTAATTTTAGTTTAAAATAGCGCAAAAATGAATTTTTTACATGGAGGTGGGTGTTTATTTAAGGTGTTGACAGGTTGACAGCTTAATTGATAGCTGGAAGTTTATATCATTTTTTCTATGGTGGACATACCTGTAAAAATTACACGAGGAATATAACGTGAGCAGCCTTTTTATATAATTATTAACTCTACAAAAATCTTAAATACGTTGGAAAATATTCTATGTAATCTAATATTTTATCGAATTTTAGTTACTTTGGCTTTAAATTTACTATAGTTATCGCTCTTATTTTCTGGATGTCGTGTTTTGACGTCTGTATTTGTATAAAATCGACACGTTTATACACACACACACGCGCGCGCGCACATAAAAAATAGTGGTGGTTGATGAATTGTAGTAAATTTTTAGATTTATGATTAGTAAGCATAGTTTCTACTTACTAAGAATATAACCTAATCGATACAATTTAAAACTTTATAAATTATTCTAATTATTATTTTACACTTCAAAGAAGATTTTCAGTAACTAGTGGTTCAATTGTTAAAAAAAATTGATGATTTAAATTCTCTAATGAATTTTGTGTATAACTAATATAAACATCAAGCGGTACAAAAATTAATTTCTTGAATTTCATAAAAATAAATAAGTGTGTGTGTGTGTGTATGTGTACGGTGGGGGTAACAGATCTAACTATGTTTCAGCAAGATTTTTTTTAAAAAGCGAAACATTTCTAAAATAATTTAATTCATTTGTAAATAACTCTGGAAAGTTTCATAAAATTCAGACAATCATTTGATTTTTGGAAAAATTTCTAAATCAATGTTTTTCACCCTAAAAGAGATTCTAAAATTTCCTGACGCAAAAAAAACAAAAAAAGAAAAGAAAAATGAACCAAAATTTCGAACGTTCTGAAATGGATCAAAAGAATAATTTTTGCCGATAAAAATTCTTTTTTATTAAGTTTGGTGGGAAATTTTTCATCATGGTATGCTTAATTTTTTTCGAATCTGTGGAGGTACCTATATCTTTCTATACCAGCTTATTCATATCTATCTATCTATCTATCTATCTATCTATCTATCTATCTATCTATCTATCTCTTTGCACTCATTTCTCCACAAACTAAAAACCGCAGGTCAAGAGGGGCAAAAATCTAATCTAAATTTCCCATATAACTTCCCATCATGGTTTAGTGGCAATATAGTTTTTAGTGAATTATCATTTATCGTGATTTTGAGCTGAAAACCTAATAATTATATGTTGTTAAAAGAAATGTTCTCAAGTTAGATTTACAAACACAATGAAAATATATTGTTGGAGATGTACAGACAACTTGGAATTTAAAAAATACACCTAATTTTAAAACCTTCAGAGTTTATTTTCAATTTTCCCTTTTTATATTAAATAAACAGTTTTACTTAAAGAAAAATGTCTCACTGGTTTACGCTTGCATGTTTTTCATAAATAAGATAAATGTTTTTAAAATTTCGATTCTCCGATATACACTGGCGTCCAAAACTTTTGGGAAACCTTGGTAAATTAATTACTTTTGTTAATTTAACCCCCTAATCGAGAGGGATTAGCGGTATACTTTTCTCAGTAGATTTTATGATTGCCGAGGGCCAGAAGATAAGTTACTGCACTTTTGTTAATATTGTATAGTAGATGATAGAGTATCTTAAGCATAATAATGGTGATAAAAGGCCATACAAAAATAATGGAACACTAATAAAAATTTCACCATTCATCTCTTTTCTTAAGTTAAAAAAGAGTTGGTTGTTTTTGGCAACTTTATTATTACAGAAAGTAAAAAATATAAAAGTATAGAGTTGGTAATTAATGTTGCTGTCTTTGGATCGAATAATTGTCTCAATTCAATGTGGTATTGAATAGAACAAGGTACAGATTTTCTCTTTCTTCTTGTCAGTAATCCCAAAGCTCTTAGAGATTACGGGGTTTTCGCTGGAGCATTTGTTTCTTCAGTTTCCACCACAATGACTCAATTATATTGAGATCAGGATTTTGTGCGAGCTAGTCTTCCAAAAGTTGAACATCTTTATCCAGAAGAAACCATTTTTTTTTGCTCATAGTGTTGCAAAGGGCGCAGCCCACAGGAAAAAAACATTCTCCATCGTCATAGTCTGTGAAGAGAGGCCCACCGAAAAGATGGGACGAGTAGAAGTGATCACCGGTAAGAAAACCGGTGAAGGGAAAAATAATATAAATGCCAGCCAAGATACACTTATGGACATTCCTTTTTGAACCACCATCGAGAAGACAACTCTCACGATACATGGCGCTGTGAACAGGATATACCTGCTGAGAAATTTTTGAACAAATACGTGCTCGTTCTTCGTCGAACATTTTAGGAATTGCCGCAGGACAGGAAACCGTTGATGTTCAATACTTGCAACTCGTCTAGCAAATGGTGGAACTTCAAAAGAAAAATAATGAGCTTCGCCGAGTTCAAAGGAGGTCGGCCTTGAAGCCTCCAGAAAGACCCACTATCGAACAGGGTTCTACCGACAGTGAGTGGGCGTGTTGTTTGTCGATTCATGGAATCGATATAAGGATGTGTGTGGTCTAACAAACCCAGCCGAAATTCGAAATGAGTTGAGAAGTACTTGCTCAACCGAAGTAAATAGAATATTGTTTGAGTTAGTGTGTGTGTGGGGGGATTAAACCCATGACACAACTACTGAGCACCAGCTCCTTCGTCAAATACAGCTTGTCACTGTTAAAGGCATACACAAGGAACTATACCGACAGACGTTCCACCACATGAGACAACAAGAGGTGGGAGGGTGCATGACACATTTCCTTGCGAAATTACGGTCGTAAGCGAAGTCTGTAAATTTACCGTCCAGTGCCCGAACAAGAGTTACAATCAACATTTGAATTATTCGGAAGATATTTTAGCATCCCGATACCACTTTCTTATCAATGTTGAATTTTGTACAAATCTGTGCAAAAAGTGGATCAAAGAGTTTACCCAGCTTCATACAGGAAATCTCAACTTCTAATTGGTCAATAAACACACAAGTTGGCGTTGCAATCCACCCAAGTACAAGCCTTTTTCCAGCGCGTGACCAAGTCAAGTTTTCCCGCTTTTTTCCAGGAGCCTACCATGTGATTAAGTTAATTATAAATACCAGTCACGAGTTCGTTCTCTCTCTCTCTCTCTCTTCCTTGATTTCTCTCGCTACAAAATGTAGTTGTAAAAAGGATTCGCGTCTTGAACACGTGCGGTCAGACGCTATGAAAACATATTCACACACGCACACATGCACGTACGTACGAAGTTTTCCAAACTATATTACAAAAATACGAAACATTTCCAAACCAGCAACAAGAACTTTTCTCTTTTAAAATACTCTGATCACGCCTTCGCACACATCTTTACAAAACAAAATTGTAATATCCTGCATATATAAAAATATATATGTTGTTCTAAACATATTCTTTTTGTCGTAATTGAATATCGTTATTATTTGATTTTTTTATTTAAATTTATGTTTGTGGATGTTGCGTGTTTCATTTACAGCGAAACATTAAAATATTCACGCAGCTTTCTTAGACCCACAGCAATATGGTGGCTAGTCAACTCGTAGCGGGACTCGCTAACGACGAACACAAAGGGAAGGTATTAGCGAAAGCTAATACCCTTACAACAAAAATTCAACTTGCTGGTCAGTCTGGAAACAACAGACAAATCTACACCCCACTTACAAAGTAGCATAGCCTCGACTACGGCATTTGACACCTTGACGTCACATCAGAAAAAGATGTCCGAGGTTGACGATACCATCAAACTCCACCAAAGATGGCATGCGAAGGGTGAAGAAGAATGTCATATCCTAAGGGTCGGAAGAACTGTCCAGCAATTAATTTATTGGGCTTTAACTGTGGGATAATAGGTCACTTAAAAAAGTCGAAAACCGAAGAAGGTACCCACCACCGAGTCGACAAGCCAGTCGATGAAACATCGGTGAGCGGGCCAGAGATATTGAAGGTTCTGAGGTGCACTGAGGATCGCCTGCTACCTACTAGTCACAGTATATGTGGTATAACGAATGACCAGCTGAATATTAGAGGCATATTCTTTATGCGCATAAGAGTCGGCCCCAGAAAAGTGAGGCGTCTGGTGTATATATCCGATAACACATCTTGGTTCTATCTTTCGGAATCTGCTCTGAAGGACCTGGGTTTAATACACCAAAATTTGCCAAACCAGACATCTGAGATCAGCGGTGCACACACCGATTCCGAAGAAGAAAGTGAAACAGGACCTTGACCGAGATGTCGCTCTTGGAATTATTGAACCGTGGCACGTGGCACCTCTACAACTTGGTGCTCGAGGTTAGTGGTTGCTCCCCAAAAGGATGAATCACCCAGAAGGTCAGTGAACCTGCAGAAATTAAATGCTGCTGCAATGAGAGAGAGCCATCACGCTCCGTCTCTGTTTAATCAAGCGTCCTTGATGCGTGGAATGGGTACCATAGTCTACCGTTCTCCCCAGTTGTGAGAGACGCAACCACATTCATAACAGAATGGGGCCGGTACCGGTATCTCAGAGCACTCCACGGGTTCCATGCACCTGGGAACGGTTACACCCACCGACTTGATGATATTACGACAAATTCACGCCGAAAAACTCGCTGTATTGACGACACCCTTCTCTGGGATGAGTCTATCGAATCCGCGTACTGGCATACATTAGAATATATCACCCACTGCTGCAGAAATAGTCTTTATCCCCGACAAGTTTCAGTTTGCGGAAAATTAAGTAGAGTTTGCTAGCTTCATAATAATGGAAGACAGCGTAAAGTCAACCAAAAAAATGACAGTGGCCATTCTCAACTACTCCATTCCTACAAATATCACAGGGGTTAGATCATGGTTCGGATTAATAAACTAGGTCACGTTCGCATTCTGGCAGGTAATGGCTTCCTTCCGAGAATTATTGTGTACAAATTTTACTGGGACGCAACACTAAACAAGCTCTTCGAGGAGTCGAAACTAAATATTGTACGGAAAATCGAAGAAAGTGTCAAAACGTTTGAGATGGCTAGAAAAACATGTCTCTCAATGGATTTTAGCAAGACTGGCATTTCAAAAACACTGCCGATGCCCAACAGAATTTGGTTCTAACTGTGGCGAGAACGACTGGAAAAACAGATGCAGAGTCCCGCTATTCTCCCGTGGAAGGGGAAGCCTTCATCCTCGTATATGGGTTGATGCCTTGTAGAATGTTTATATTGGGATTCCTAGACCTAGTGATCACATTAGATCACCAACCACTGATAACAATATTTTCACACCAGCTCCTAGAGAATATAAAGAACCCATTTCTGTTTTCTTTCAAGGAGCGCGGTGGCTGATGTACAGGTTCAGCATTAAGCACGTGGTTCCAGGGAAGCTAAACTATAAATAATTTTGATTACATAAGAGAAAAATCTCATAAAATAAAACAAGCAAATTTTTCATTTAAAATTGGTAATCTTTTTAAAAATAAGTAATATTTTAATGTAATTAACTAAATAAAAATTAAATTTATAAGCATGTACGTTATTTTGATAACACATTATGTTAATTACGATAAAAAAACACCTGATATTTTATTAATATTCTAATTAGTTTAATAAAAATGTCATATAAAATAATAATAATAATAATAATAATAATAATAAAGAAGAACGAATGCTGGATACACCTCTGCAAGAATGGGAAAATATATCCACAGATGATGTTAGGCAAGCTCTAACGAAATCGCAAAAGTGGAAATCCCCAGGAAGTGACAAGTTGCCCAATTTCTGGCTGTATCATCTCACATCTACCCATGAAATTCTTGCAAAAACATTATCAACGCTTGTTAATAATCCCTATAAAACCCCGGAATGGATTACTGAAGGTATGACATACCTCATACCAAAAACAACTGAAATAGACGACCCGAAAAATTATAGACCGATAACATGTCTCTCCACAAAGTATAAGTTGATCACGCCTGTATTGACGAACCGTACTTATTCCTTTCTCGAAACAAACAGCACTCTCCCGCTGGAACAGAAGGGATGCAGAAGAGGTTCATATGGCTGCAAGGATCAACTTCTGATAAATAAAATGATCCTGGAAAATTGCAGGAGACGACGCAGGA